GTGGGGGAGTGGTGGGAGGGAGAGATGAGAGGAAGGGACCTGGAGAAGAGAGAGGAAACTGCAATCTGGATGTAAATTAAATAAATAACTTTATTTAAAAAAATAAAACATCTGAGAACAATCTGGATTCCAATGTCAAGTAGACAGTAATTTTAAATAAGAAACAGAAATATGGCAACTTTGTGGGCATTATAGAAAGCTAACTTTATGAATTTTTAAAAATCAAGATTTTCAAAACAATCAAAATTAAAAAATTATAGTACATTAAATATAAATATGTGTGTTCCTGAATGTTAAGTTTTGACATTCAAAAGATTCCAGGTAATTATGAGAATAAACAGAAAATGTTATGTAATATATATGATTTAGAAAATAAATGTAGAAAATACTCTTTTTCTGGGGTATTTTGAACTGATACAGTCACTGGATCATTTTTCTCAGGGTCATATTCCATCAATTCCACACTTAAATACAGAACAGAAATCTTGAATTGGGATTTCCCAGAAATAAAACCAATACTACCAAAGTATCAGCTAAAAAAAATTTATGATTAAAGAAATTATTATAAATTTCCATAGAATTATTAAATAGATATTTAAGAGTATGATATATCTATGTATAAAATGTAGACTAATTTCATAAACAAATATTAGATGAAATGAACAAATCACAAAAATGTTCAACATGGATACATCAATTTGTATAACACACAAATTAGGAAAAATCAATATGTATTCTTAGAAATTAAAATAGAACTTACATTTTGAGATTAAATAAGAAAAACAAAGGAAACAAATAATAAAACGATTATATTAATAAGGAACTTGAACAAGAGTGTTTATTCTTTGAACTTTCATTCAGCTGAATACACATGCATCATAGTTATGTATTCTGAACTCTAATCTCACAATATTAGAAGCTTTCAAGGACAACACCTATTTTACATAAAGATAAATATATATAAGTGTGAGTATACCTATGAGTTTTAGTTTGCTCTCTATTATTGTGATAAAACATTGTCCAAAAACATATTAATAAAGACATATTTTATTGGCTTAAATATCCTGAGCACACCACAGCACTGATGGAAGAGAAAGCAGTAACTCAAGCAGGGCAGAAAACTGGGGTCAGGAGCTATTTGCTCACTTTGTTTTTTTTATATATATCCCAGGCTATACCTGAGTTTTAATCATCCATAATGCATAACTCTTCCACCACTATTACAAATTAAGAAAATGTTCTAGGAGTTCTATGGTGGAATTTGGGGGATCACCCATTTATACTCTCATATTATCTGTGAATAGTGATGCTTTGACTGCTTCCTTCCCAAACTATATCCCCTTTATCTCCTTTAGTTGTCTTATTGTTCTGGCTAGGGCTTCTAGTTCTATGTTGAAAAGATATGGGGAGAGTGGTTAGCCTTGCTTGTCCCTCATTTCAGTTGGATTGATATAAGTTTCTCTCAGTTTAGTTTGATGTTTGCTATAGGCTTGCTGAATATTGCCTGAATATATGTTTAGGTATTTGCCTTGTATCCCTGATCTCTCCAAAACTTTAAACATGAACAGGTACTAGATTTTGTCAAATGCTTTCTCAGCACGTAAGGAGATGATCATGCATTTTTTTTTCTTTCAGTTTGTTTATATGTTTGATTTCATTGATGGATTTTCATATATTGAACCAAAACTGCATGCCTGGGATGACACCTACTTGGTCATGGTGAATGATATATTTTATGTGTCTTGGATTCTGTTTGAGTATTTTATTGAGTATTTTTGCATCAATGTTCATAGGGGAAATTAATCTGAAATATTGTTTCTTTTGGGGTCTTTGTAAGGTTTAGGTATCAAGGAGTCTGTGACTTCAAAGAATGAGGTTGGTAATATTCCCTCTGTTTCTATTTTGTGGAATAGTTTAAAGAGTATTAGTGTTAGCTCTTTGAAGATCTGCTAGAATTGTGCTGACATCATCTACCCCTGAACTTTTTTTTGGATGAGAGAATTTTGATGACAGATTCTATTTCCTTGGGGGATATAGAACTATTTAATTTATTTACCTGATCTTGATTCAGCTTTGGTAGATGGAATCTGTCAAGAAAATTGTCCTTTTCATTAAGATTTTCAAATTTTGTTTCATATAGGTTTTTGAAATAGGACCTAATGATTCTTTGGATTTCCACAGTGTCCATCATTATGTCTCCCTTTTCATTTCTGATTTTGTTGATTTGGATAGTTTCTCCCTACCTTTCTGTAACTTTGGCTAAGGGTTTGTCTATCTTTCGTTGATTTTCTAAAAAAACTAGCTCTTGGTTTAGTTGATTCTTTGAACTCTTCTCTTCGTTTCCTGTTTATTGATTTCATCCCTGAGTTTGATTATTTCCAGCAGCTTTCTCTTGGGTATGTCTGCTCTCTTGCTCCCACAGGACATTTTGGTGAGCTGTTAAGTTCCTTGTATGAGATGACAAAGATGCCAAAACCATACAATGGAAAAAAAAGATAACATCTTCAATAAATGGTGCTGATTGCACTGGATGTCCACATGTAGAAAAAATAGGAGAGAAAGAAGTCAAAGTATCACTATTCATTGAGAGTTTACACGTGGGACCCCAAAAATTCTACCAGAAAACTCCTACAGCTGATAAACATCTTCAGTGAAGTGGCCTTGATACAAGATTAACTTTAAAAAAAAAAAATCAGTAGCCCTCCTGTATACAAAGAAAAAAAGGGCTGAGTAAAAAAGTAGAAAAACAACACCCTTCACAATAGCCATAAACAACATAAAGCACCTTGGTGTAACTTTACCCAAGCAAGTGAAATAATTGCATGAAATTGTAAGTGAAATAATTGTATGAAAACAAACAATATACTACAAACAAAAGACAAAAACAAGCAAACAAAAATATTACAAGTCTGCGAAGAAAGAAATTGAAGAAGATATGAGAAGATGGAAAGATCTCCCATGCTCATGTGTCCATAGGATTAACATAGTAAAAAATGGCCATCCTATCAAAAGCAATCTATAGATTCAACGTGATATCCATCAAAATAGCAGCACAATTCTTTATAGACCTTGAAAGAACAATTTTCAATTTCATATAGGAAAACAAACAAACAAAAAAAAAAATCAAGATAACTAAAACCATCCTGTATAATAACATCTTCTGAGGGTATCTCCATACCTGATTTCAACCTGTACCATAGAGCAACAGTAATAAAAATGACATGGTACAGACGTAGAAAGAGACTAGTGGATCAATGGAATCGAAATAAACTCATACCCCAATTGACACCTGAGTTTTGACAATGAAGCAAAAACCATACAATGTAAAAAAAGCATTTTTTTTTTTTTTTTACTTTTTTTACTTTCTTCAACAAGTAGTATTCGTCTAACTGGATGTCTACATGTAGAAACATGCAAATAGATCCATACTTATCATCTTGCACAAAAGTAAAGTCTAGGTAGATCAAAGATCTCAAGATAAATCCCGCCACAGTAAATCTGTTAGAAGAAAAAAATGGGGAAGATTCTTGAACTCATTGGCTCAGGACACAACTTCCTGAACAGAACACCAACAACACAGGCTCTAAGATCAGCAGTCAAAAAACTGGGACCTCATGAAAATGAAAAGGTTTAACTGTAAACAAAGGACGCTGTAACCGAACAAAATGCTAGCCTACACACTCGGAAAGGATCTCCACCAACTTTGTATCTGACAGAGGGCTAATATCCCAAACATACAAAGAACTCAAGAAGTTAAGCAACACCAAACCAAATAATCCAATTAAAAAAAAAAAAAATGAGTTACAGAGCTAAACAGATAATTTTCAAGAGAGGAATACTAAATGGCAGAGAAACACTTAAAAACAGATAAACATACTGAAAATCTACAAACCTAAAGAAGCTAAACAACAAGTAGGACTGTAGGGAAGTTGCTTGTTTCTCATTTAGATGGGAAAACAGAAGAGAGGGAAGAGAGGGAACAGGACTGGAGCCTCCCACAGATGTCCTCTAGAAGACTCCAAGCAGCAGGGGATCAAAGCAGAGGCAGAGTCTCACACCCAGACTTTGAGCAGAGCACAGGAAATCTTATGGAAGACAGGGGGTATAAAAGGATCTGGGGAGGACAGGAGACCCACAAGGAGACTAACAAAGCAAACAAAAGCATGCCCTGTGGGGCACTGAAGAGACTGCATCAACTAAAGACCATAGAGCAACAGTATGAGTTACAGAGCTAAACATGTTCTACAGAAATGCCTTCAGAATGGTCTGTTCTGTGCATTTTCTCAATTGAGGTTCCTTGTTTGTTCTCAGATGACTCCCACATGTATCAAGGTGACCAAAATCTAAGTAGCAGAACATGCATATCATTCTAATATAGTTTTAACTTAAACTTTAAATAATATTTGATTTTTAAAATGATAATCAAGGACTAAAATTTAAGTAATAACATTCAAGACAATAAAAATAACTATTAGGCAAACAAAATTATATAACTATTATATATATATATATACATATATGTATATATATATATATATATGTATATATATATATGACCCTTTTATGGCTACACATGTGCATAAGGAAAAAGAATATATGAAACTCATAATACAACAAACAAACAAACAAACAAAACAATCCCTTCATTATGCGTGGAGACTGTGATTTAGCTGAAGGAGTTGTGGGCTGACAGTAATTTTATACAAGTATGAAACTGTCAAAGAACTAACTTAATGAAATTAGATACAATATTATTTGTGCCTGTGTGCGAGTGTGTTTATGTGTGCGCTTATGTGTGTGTATGCAAGTATGCATACTGTACAGAGTTAAGGTCAAGCACAAACAGTGATATTCGCAGTGTATTTTATGGAACCTTCGGATGTGGCTTAGAAGACAGCCTCATAAATTAATGAAGAAAAAGTGAAAAGAGGCAGCCCCAAACAATGCATGCACATTGAATTGTGCTCCCCTAGGGAGGGTTGCTGGTGTCTAATACTTACAGGTACGCTGCTTTTCCTTCTTCTAGCTCTTTACTTTTTCCACTGGAGCCACTTTTCTTCCCACACATTCTCCTGGTGATGCACATTAGTAACCCACATTGTCGAATGAAGAAGCAGCTGACATCTGTTACCACAAGGATTAGCAAAAGGGCCGCGACTCCAAGGCCAATGATGGCTCCTAGCCCAAGGCCATTAAAAAGTGTGTCTTAATCAAAAAGAAAAACAACAACAAAAAAGAACTCCATAAAATCTCCACATTACAAAATAGGAAACACTATTTTAAAAGTAATTGCCAATAAAATAAACGCTCAAATATAGGTGAAGAGAACATGTAGAAGTGACCGATAGCCTTCACTTCCTTGATTTTGGGGACCTATTTTCTGGCTACAAAGCCATATTTTAAGAAGTGACATGTTAAAAAGTTAAATATTTTTCATTTATTTATTTATTTATTTATTTTAGAAAAAGTATAAGTAACTTCTTTTTGGTGTAGTTCTCAATTTGCTGTAGGGGAAAAAAATAAATATTATCATATCCTGAGCAATACCAAAATATCAGTCATAGTTAATCACAGTGTTTAAGAATACATATTATTTTCATTAGAGAAGAGTCATGTGAGTCTTCACTATGATACTCTTTGGTATTCAGACTAAAACTTTAACTGGATGTCTTCAAGCACTTCGCTTTCACAATACCTGCTATGAATAATTTTTAAATCATCACTTCAGGAAAGTTGGTTGCTTGTGGTTTTGCAGGTAATATTTTAGCAAATTACAAGCATCATGCAAATTGATTTTTTAAGAATCTTTATTAGCTGTTGTCTTAATGAGGTAAAGTTCTGAGATGGACCAATTTTTCTTGGCATGGGTTTGTGGGTAGCACCAAGTGGCATGCATGCTCTGTGAAGAGGTAGGAGATTGGGAGGAGGAAAGAATACGGGGAAATGTAGAAAGATTGAGAGGCGGCTAGTAATGAAAAAAAGTCAATGACCCTATATTTGTAGTCTAACATGACAAGATTATCCAATCATAACAATGTAAGAAGGAAAATGAGAACCATTGAAAGTAAATTAAATATTGTCTTACCTAGAGGAAAGAAAGGTATGACTACACATTCACTTCTGAGTATGAATATCAATATATTCCAAGAAATTTATATATTACAAAATTGTACAGCTCTTTAAGGATGAAATATATTTACTACCAAAAATAAAAACTGAATGTTCTCTCCATAACTGTTATAAAACAAAAATGAAAACTATAGATGTTTATATATATATATTTATTATATATATATATCATAGATTATGCATAAATTGAAACTTTAACTTAAAATCATATGTGGCTCTTTGGGCTGCTGGACATGATCTAAAAACAAATTTCAAAGAGGATAAGTAGAAGAAGTGCACATGGATAAGACTTCATAACTCATTTAAATTCTTCTCACAGCCACACAAAGCATGTGGAAATAAATTCTACAGATCAATGTTACTATGGCTGCTGAGTGACAAAAACTCAAATATGCCTGTTTTAAAGATAAACTACTGCTCTGTGCTGCAATCTGCACCATTAGAAGTCCAAAAATCCTTGTTCGAAACACTAGTGTATTACATTCTTATAAGCTTCTGTCTCATTTTTCCAAGCTTAGTATGCGTCCTTATTTAAATAGACAGTTATGCAAACAACTACCCGAAATGAGCAGCAAGCTGAACATTCAACAACTACTAGCTTTTATTGTTGCTGTTGCCATATTACATTAAATAAATACTAAATAATACTGTTTGTGATTAAACTTGAAGGAATGCTGCTGATGTATTTCCACTCACAAACCAAAGATGAATGGAATCTCTTATTCACTGATGTTATTCTTTTAAAAACAAGTTTTACAAAATGACTGAGGAAGGCTGGCTAACTTTGTAATACATTTTGTGTATGGTTTTTAGATTTATGTAAGTACATTGATCGCCATTTCTATCTTTAGGAAAATTGATATTTACAAAATATTTAAAAATAATGATAATTGATGGCAAATAGCTTTCATTTCCTAAAGAAATAAAATTAAGCACTTTAAATATCAGATTACATGTGTGATATTGGAATTATTTATGTAAAGGTAAAATATAAGTAATAAGATTAATCCCCCTCATATCCTCCCAGGAGCATACCCTCATCATCAGTTTCTCTGCAGGCCTTCTGTCCTCTTGCCCTTGCTCTCCTCAGGTCTAAGTCCCACCTCTTAACTCTCTGTGCCCCCCTCTTCATCCATTACCCCCGTCTATTCCATCTCTCCTTCCGAGTAAGATTTATATATCCTCACTTGTCGCAGGGAAATGTCGCAGGGAAAGAGGATAAGTTCAGTCCTGATGGAATTTGATGAGATGGTTTGGATGGGAAAGGAAGTTCCCTTCATCTGACAAAAAAGGGAGGGAGAAGAGGAGGGGACCTTGGTCGGGACTGGGAGGGGAGGAGGAAAGAGGCTACAAGGATGTAAAATAAATAACAGCAATAAGTGAGAAAAAGATAACAAAATTAAATAGAAAGTATATTTATATTGTAAGTATTTAGTTTTGATATTTTATAATTTTAATAAAGGGTAAAAAATGCATTTAAATGCATTTTAATGTAAGATTGGTTAATATTAACTGTAAAGTTTAAATCTTCATTTGTTTCCATGCTACCAATTTTCTTTGACACACAGTTTTATTTACTAATAATTTGTACTTTCAATGTCGACCTAAACATGCATACACATTAATGTGATAATATTGTCATTTGAAAACTAACATGAACTCAAGGGCAATTTTTTATGTTAGAAGTGACTTAATTGTATAGCAAACTGGAATAGAAGAGAAATCAAGTCAGGCTTTAATAATATTTATAATGACATTTTATACTTTCATAAGAAATCATCACAGAGAAATATATATTTTAGATCTGCATTACACAAGGAAAATTGAAGCCCAAAGAAATAACTTCCCTAACTAATAGTGCCACCACAAGATCTAGGCATATGCCCAAAAGATGCCCCACCTTTCAATAAGGACTTTTGCTCAACTATGTTTATAGCAGCTTTATTTGTAATAGCCAGAATCTGGAAACAACCTGGATGTCCCTCAACAGAAGAATGGATAAGAAAGTGTGGTACATTTTACACAACTACGCAGCAATTAAAAAAAAAAAAAAAAAAGGAAAGGAAATCATGAGATTTGCAGGTGGGAACTAGAAAAGATAATTCTGAGTGAGGTAACCCAGAAGCAGAAGACACATTTGATACATACTCACTTATAAGTGAATATTAGCTATAAAATATCGGATAAACATACTAAAATCTATAGCCATAAAGAAGCTAAACAACAAAGAGGACCCTAGGGAAGATGCTTAATCCTCATTCAGAAGGATGAACAGGATAGACATTGGAAGTAGGAAAAGGCAAAGAACAGGAAAGTAACCTTCCACAGAGGACCTATGGAAGACTCTGTTGATCAAGGTATCAAAGCAGAGGCTGAGACTCAGAGCGAAACCTTGGGCAGAGTGCCAGAACCCTTATGGAAGAAGAGGGAGATAGAAAGACCTGGAGAGGACAGGAACTCCACAGGGAGATGAACAGAGTAAAAATACCTGGGCCCCGGGGCGCCTGCAGAGACTGATAACCCAACCAAGGTCCACGCATGGGGAAGACCTACACCCCCTGTTCAAAGGAGAGCCCATTGGCTCTCAGTTTCCAAGTAGGTTCCCTAGTAAGGGGTACAGGGACTGTCTTTGACATGAACTCAGTGGCTGGCTCTTTGATCACTTTGCCCTAGGAGGTGCAGCTTTGCACAGAGGAAGATGATGCAGCCAGCCTTGATGAGACCTGATAAGCTAGGCTTAGATAGAAGGGGAGGGATCCTCCTCTATCAGGGGACTAAGGAAATGGCATAGGGGGAAAAGAGGGAGGGAGGATGGGATTGGAAGGAGACAAGGGAGGGGGCTACAGCTGGGATACAAAGTGAATAAATTGCAATAAATAAATATATAAATAAAATTAAAAAGAAAAAGGTTAGAAGTTTAGAATAAACTAACCCTAAGTTTTATCTAAATAATTGCAAAACTGGATTTTAACACTCAAAGGTAGTCGTTTAGAAGAGTATATGTTAGTTTATATAATATCTTTTTTTTCCTGGATTTTCTAAAAAAAATTTCTCTGTGTAGTTTGGCTGTCCTGGACTTGTGTTTGTAGACTGGGCTTGCCTTAGACTCAAAGAGATCCACCTGCTTCTGCTTCTGCTGGGATCGTAGGCGTCATCCACCAAGTCCAGCTTATATACTATTCTTATAGAAAATATTTATTATACATTATTCTATAGTATTAGTTAAATAACAACATCTTAATCACTAGCTGGGCTCAAAGGAAGAATATAAATTACAAAGCATGTTTCTGTCATAAGCTTTGTGGTTTAGCTATCTTTAATATTATTTTTACAAAAATACCATTTTGTTAGAAATGTTTAGGGTCCAAAAGTTTAAGCATAAAACTGTAAATTGCTATCTTCTCTTATAGTTTATTATTCAAATCATGCAGTAGAAGTGATGGACAGTCTCTGTGTTCTATTTCTCAACTACATCACTCCAACTCTGAGAAACTTAGAAATTAGACAACCAAAACCAATCTCTTCCCTAGTCATTCCATAATTGTTTGTTTCAATCAAATCAAAGATCAGAACAAAGAAAAAACAAATTAAATTTATTTTTTTATACATGTCATATATTTATATTACACAAGACATCCGTACGCTGAAACACTGTTATTTTGACATGAAGGTTATTATATTTGACACCATGTACACGAGTTTAGAAAACATTGTTCTAATACATTCAAAGTAGCTTTACTTTTTGACTCATTACTTTAGTACTGTATTAAACTACATTTTCTCTGTGTATATGTCATAGGTTTATTAAAATTTTTTGTAGAACTTGGCAAGTTGTGAAAATGACAAAGAGAACAAATTCTAAGTTTTAATTTAGACATTCATCATTATTTTCAAAAAAGAATTTGCTCAATACTATAGGAAAATATAGAAAATAGAGAATATATTCAAAACTTTGTTGGTTTTCATTGTGCTAACATATACTCAATATTCTTTGTTCTCACATTAGAGCTAGGTCTTTAAGCTCCTGGGTATAAGCTGTTAACTAATCAAGCCAGTACAATACATCTTAAATATCA